AAGCAGCACCCAAAACGATTAATCATTGTAATCTTTCGATAACCTATGTACTCGTATGTAGTATGCTTCTTGTAAGTTGTCAAATAACTTTTTATGTTCTTATGATTGTATATTTTTTTGCTGCGTATAACTAAGTGATTTTTTTTTTTTTATTTATTTTTACAAAAATTGTACTGCTACATCGTACTTATAAAAACTATATGAAATAAATACATATGTATGTACATATGTACATTAGAACATACCAGAAAATAAAGTTCGCCGTACACTCATGAATCTATAGAGCTGTTTGCAGCTCTCAAGAAAAACCAAAAAGTCATATAAAATGACGCACAAGAAATGGAAAAGTAGTTTACTTCTATCTAAATTTTTTAAATCAGTTTTCAGCTCTCAAGAAAAAAATGTTCGTATATTTATTTCTGCAAGGAAATTTACAGCAAAAGCAAAGTACTTTTTTAAGCAACAGAAATAATGAAATTTTTCGTGAGAGCTGCAAACAGCCCTTATGAAAGTATATTTGTGAGGCAATTTCGATTTTTTTCTTCTTTGCCAACCGTAGAGGAGATATTTTTCGTAATATCTTCGGCGTTTATAGTCGAATCTTAAAATATGATGTATCGATGTTTTTTCTTCGAGAGGAATTTTTTTTCCTATGGTGATTGACTTGAAGTACCCCGTTCTAGTACTTGCCCACCATATCTCAGTTGCTACCACCCTAACGTACCATCCTAATGCCAGTAAATTAAAGCTCGCCAAAAGTTAAACCTTGCGAATTCTGTGTTTTTGGTCGCCTTTGGTAATTTTTCATAATATTTTCAGCATTTACAGTCGGTCCTTAAAGAATAATATATCGATCTTTTCGACTCGAGGGGACAATTATTTTGTTCTAAAGTAAAAAGTTCGGAGAGAAGGTGGCTCCGAAACATTTAATTATTTTTCGAAGTTGCCTTAAAAATTTAGGTTCAGTGGTGCACGGCTAACTGTTTTTGTTTGCTTGTAAGGTGATATGGTCTAATGAACATATGTGTGTACATATTTGTCTCCGCTATTCTTTCTAGCAAAACCGACAACTCCACAGCGTACACCCGTGGCGTACTTCAAACAATAGGCTTCAAAGAATTTATACCCTACTTGGAGCAGTTTGATGCGGCAAATGATCAGAAAATTGAAGAGTACTTACGCTTGAATGCGTATAAAATGCCAACAGAAGGTAATTGAAATCAATAATTTAGTCTTTTTTCACTTTTTAAAGCCACTTAATTTTTGGCATTTGTAATTCAGTTCATTCTTTACATAAATAGTATGTATGTACATATGTACACTGAGAAAAAATTATGATTTTAAACATTTTATTTTGTACACCCAGAAAAAATTCAGCTAAAAATATTTCTCTCAACACATTATTTGGTAACTATAACCAAATAATACAAGTATAACCAACTCATTTGTTGAGATGAATGTATTTATTTTATTTTTTTCGGGTGTATTTTAGATACAAATAAATATTTATTAATAATAATACTAATTAGTGTTGGGAAGTATCGAGTACTTTTGAGGATCGAATTCTTTGGTATCGAGTACTGAGTACTCTTTAAATATACACATGTTGATGGCATTCCAATACTTACTGTAAAAATCTCACAAGCTGGCAGTATTTTATTCAAATTAATATATGAATCCCAAATTACGTCAAATGAATGGCTAACTGTACTGGGTAGAAATATTGTACTTGAAAATTATTCAAACTACAAATTGAGTACAATCATTTCTGAATACCGTTAAATGTAAATAAACCTCAATACTTTTTAAGTCTATTCGTCACTTAATACTGAGTACTTTGAATCGATCCTGAGTACATGTATCAAAGCGATTATTGGAACAGAGTATTTTTGAGTACTGAGTACTTTCGAGTTCTTTTAAGTTCTGAGTACTTCCGAGTTCCTTTTTCAGTACTGAGTACTCTCGAGTTCTTTTGTGATTATGTACTGAGTTCTTTGGAGTACTCAGTATCGATACTTTTAAAAATCGGGCGCTGTCCATCCTTTTGTGAATCGAGTTCTGAGTACTTTAGGTCTCGATACTGCCCAACACTAATAATAATAAATATTTATTGACTAGCTGCACTCGACCCATTCCTGGAGGTTCCCCTCTCACATTTGCTCGCTTCACAACCAGTGTTCATCAAAATCTCAAGATCTGTTAAGGCCCTTAGATCTACAAAAAAATTTACTCTCTGTCTCAGTCGTCAAGTTGAGTCTATAGTCTTTACGACTTACCACTTCTCACCGGATCCCGTACGAGATACATTGCGTTCGTTAAATGCTCCCGCAGAGAGTCATTAGGATTCAGGCATAAGGGGGTTAATAAGTCCATATGTCAAGTGCATAGTTTATATGGGCTGTCCTCAGGGCGGCGTGCTTTATCCCTTCCTCTGTTGTTTAGTAATTGCTTCCCTACTTGTTAGGCTTATGGGCCCTAATATTCAGGGCCAGGCCTATATAGATTATGTGGTATACCTAACTACAGGAGATTTTCTGATTTTTTTGCGTAAAAAATACTGAATATGATTGGCACTTGGTGTAGTGAGAAAGGGCTGTCCTCTAACCCACAAAAAAACACTGAATATGATTGGCACTTGGTGTAGTGAGAAATGGCTGTCCGCTAACACAAGAAGGAGAAAGTTGAGCGGCGTTGTTGTCCCTACTGGAGTCAATATTTATCCTGAATAAAGTATTTTTTGATATAACCGTAGCCGGTAAACTTTATGGACAACCAAAGACTGAAAGAAATGTCTTAACGGTATTCTGGCAATGCAAATATGTACGTCTTTGGTAGGTCGTAGAGTCCGTCACGTAGAAAAATTCTATGGATTTACACCTATGTATATGATATACATAGACAGAGATTTAGACTTTAATGTCTTTTATATTCCACAGGAAGCTGAAAGAACTACTACAATCTTGTGTTCCCACCGGCCGAATATTTCGCACAGCATATGAAGCTTCGTGGAGGTGCAGGTGAAAATCATGTTGCTCTCAGTCTCAAAAGGTCTGCATAGGTAGGTATTTTGCCTGAGTACTCTTATCTGTACGCGTTGCCTTTATGTTAGTGTCGTCAAAAAAAATGTGTGCTGCGCTAATAAATAACCCAGAATCTATCTGGAGGCAGTGAAAGGGGCATAGATCTGCCAAATCGCCGCAATAGGTACTGGCGAAATATGCCTTCTTTTGTCGCCAAAGCACCACCGGTAGAGAGAGGCACAAGTGAAGAAGTATAACAGCATGCTCTTCGGTATTCCTCAGGGACCATCCTAGTAGCCACTCCCTATTCGTTGAATTTGACTGACCAACAGCAGGCATTTAACGCCAGTCTTAGAGATCGGTCAACACTTATGTCAGGTGCAAAGGAAAATGGTTATTACAAATTTATTGTGAATACTTCAGTAAAATCAATTCCTGCCCCACGTTCCATACCAACTTAAATCTACGCATCTGACTCTTCTACCTCTCTTTCTCTCTCTCTCTGGCGCAACCCTTTTGAAACTGCTCGTTTTCTATTGTCAACTTCACCGACCTCTACAGGTTTGGATTAACGCTATTACAGCAACTATAACCCAAAGTTTCAGTTTTTTCTCCGATCGGTTTGTTCAGTTATTTAGTGA